GAGAAGATTCCAGAGCAGCGATGACCAATAAGAACGAACGGGTTGGGGGTTCACGCAACAGATTGTGCGCAGTACAAAAATCGGAATTGGATCCGCATACCCGAGTGAACAAGTACATTTTTGTCTTGAAATAGCCACATCGGTGGTGCGCGATGCTTCCTTCGAGCTCTGATAGGGCCAATCTGAAGAAGAAGTGAACGCTTCATTTTCTTGTTCCGTTCAGAATAAGGCAACCGGATTTGTATTCACTGTGGCCCAAAGTTTCTTTTTCTGTGAACCCGTATTTTCGGGATAGGATTTCTTTTAATCCGGTTATCTATCTATCATTTCTGCTCATTCCTGCAGGCCACGGGTAGTTTACTTTCCATTGGGTGTATGCATGTGTGTACGAAGTTGCACTTTTCCAATGCAAGTTGCCACACCACTGTTTGTGGTCTGCTAGTTTATTTACTCTTTCTTTCGTCCTGTTGGTGGTTATGTCCGGATGTCGTAGAGCTAGGCTGATCATGCTTACGGTATTCGAGTGATGATTCGATTGTATCGAATGGGCTGTTAATCGGGCACAATGTGTTATGTTTCGTGAAATCAAGCTCTCATACGTCCAGTTCCAACGCTTCACCCGCCAACCTCCCTAAATCAAATGCCAACAGGATCAGCGCGAAGTTGTTTTCAAGAACGTACGGATGCGTTTCACTTCAAGGGAAGGTGTACTCATTATTTAAAGTTAAATTTTTTATCATTGGTGATTCAATAAAGCTAACGCTTATCATACCTCATAAGAATGTTTTGGGCAACTTTACAAAAAGAAAATAATAATAATATGCTTGAGCATATAATTGGGCCTTGAGAATTCTAGAAAATGTGTGCGATAACCAATGCTGGAACATTCTGGAGCGGAGATGATCATTAATATTGAACAGATTGGGGACTCGCGTAAATGCTCGTATACTCCAACTCATTCCATGAATCCTCTAACTTTTGAGCGCCTGATTCAAGTCAGGCGAACTGTCAGTTATATGCGAGCTACTCTGTAGCACTAATTATAACCAGTTTTGTGGTGTATACAATACTGAATTGGATTCCGGGTGAGGGATACAAATCACAACGGCATTGCTGTCTTCATCGATCGACTGACTAACTGACACCATAACTTATAGTCCACGAATGTCTTCCTGCCGACTTCAATTTCGCAAACACCCGATGTTTACAACACTTAGCTCTGTCACCAATCTATCTGTAGTCATCGACCCGATTTGTTCCGATTTCCCTCAACCGGGAAGCCTATCTAACACGACTCACATGACCGATCCAGCTTTTTGTGTCCGGTCATGTCTGAATGACCTGAATTCGTTTCTAATCCCCATCTGCTTCATAGAATAACACTCGCCGAAACTGTAACGCGCACCACATCCATCGCAAGCAGTACGAATGAAATCAAAAATTGCTTTAATTTGCCCCACGTGGATAAATATTCAACTGCTACATCATCACTTTCCTGTAGTAAAAATAGAATGCTAGAAACAAGAAGCACAGGGAAACACAGCACACAAACGATTAGGCAAGGTTGGACTTTGAGACTTTCAGTGATAGGATCGGCGTTAGGAAGAAACCGTTCAAGATGCGGATTTCAGAAGACATGGGGGTTGTAGTACGTTGTGCTATATGCTGATACTTGGAACGAGTATCACATATGGGGTCACATTTATAAATATCTAGGCGAGGAGGGTGAGATGAGTGGGGCAGTTTGCTGGCAGGATGTTTCTTGTACGCATTAAAGTGCGGTGAATTTGAAAACTACACAAGAATTTCGCAAGATATGCCACTGTGTCGACATCGGTGTTTGATAGGTATGCGTCTGAATAATTGGATAAGAACTCGGGGAAAGGTAACTAGGGGTCCATAAAACCAGTCGGGAGGGATGCAAGAGAAGATAAAACGTTTTTGAAATGGAGTGGGGTAGATGATAGTTTCAGACAAATAACGCAGAGTTTCCTGACTTCGTGAAATGTCTCGGCAACACGAGGACACCATAATATATCACTCAGAATGGTAACTCCGAGATATTTAACGGAGCGCTTCTTGAAAATCTGTTCTCCGATAATAAGTACACACTGGCTACAGCTCATTATATTAATGTATTTGTCACCTTTCATCAACGAAAACGAGACATCCGTACACTTATCTTAAGTTTGTGATGTCAAGATCAGTCAGTAACCCTTGAAGCGTTACACAAGAAATCGGAGCACATGGAGGAATTTATGAAATTCAAGCCGCGCACACCACAATCCGCATATTCTATGAGTAGGCATAGACAGATAGACAGAATAGCACCTTGAAGAACTTCTTGAGCGGAGGGTAGAAGCGAACAGTTGTTCATTGAATTTAGTAAGCTGTCGATGGTGAGTGAAGTCATTGGATAATATAATGACTACAAGCTACTAATAACCCTTCTCAAAGAGAAAGAGAGAGATCGAAGAAGTTTTGTCCTATCGACACAGTTGAAGCGTTAGTATAGTCAAAGAAACTAGAGAACAGCTTTACATTCACGGCCCAAAAAAGAAAAGTGTAGTGAATCCTTGTTGGAAACCCTTACCATGCATTAAACATTGGAACCAACCCGGGAAAGTGCTTTATCAGCGGCTTATCGATAGCAAAGACGAAGGCAAATTACGCTTTGGT